TTTTAAGAGATAAATAAATTATTTTTTCTTCTGTTTCTTCTAAATTTTATGCATACATGTAATTTATATAAATTAGTAAATGTGTCACTTTAATTGACTATTATTACTTAAGAGTTGTGATTCTTTTTAATAATACTGTGTAAGTAGATTTTTAAAATAGTAAATAATTATTTTTGTTTTTTGCTCCTTTTAAATTTTATATTTACATGTTATTACAATATATATCATAAGTTAGTAAGCTTCTGTTAATAATACTGTAGAGATATATTTTTAAAACAATAAATAATGATTGTTTTTCTTCTTTATTCTTTCTGCTTCTTTTAAATCTACAAATAAATAAGCATCTAACTTCAATCAAATAAATTGTTAAAAATATAAATCATTCTTCTTTCTATGTTTTTTTTCTTTATTTTTTCTTCATCTTTTAAACTATGAGTATATACAATTTATATAAATTATAGCAAGATTGGAAAATCTTTTGTCAATTTAACCGAAGAAGTTAACAAGAATAAATCTTGAATAAGTGAATAAAACAACTTAAAAATATGTAAATGAATGTACAAAGTTCTACGTAGCAAAAGCCTCGAGAAAAATATAGAAAACTTTTAAATTCTCCGTCAGAAATTTAGTTTCTTTCGACTATCTAATATCTCACGGCCTCGGTAATTAACATTCTCGATGCACCAGATTGACCCAAACTTTTTCAACAATTTTCTTTTGTCTACCATCTTTTTCTATTTTATCTTTTCATTTTTTTTTTGTTCTGTTCAATTAAAACAAAGTAAGAAATGTTTATTAAGATATACCATAAAACTCATACACTATTATAAAATTGTTTTCTTAATAGTTTATTTTTAAGAAAAATAATTCATATATAATTCAAAAATCAACTTAAAATTAACTAGATTCATCCCCTATGCTTTCTAACCCTCTAATTTATCTTCGACATAAGCCGTAACAAAACAATAATCATTAATCATTGCGTTTGATCTTTTTTAGAAATTTATTCATAAACTTTTCAGAAAATCATTCCTCTCGCCTATCGTCCTATAAAATGTATTTTTCTTTGAGAAAAGAAAAAATTAAAAAAGAAAAAGTAATAAATGAGATAATTTAAACGATCGCTCGACAAATGTCGGACGTTGTAAGAAAAAAAATAATAAACGTTCACATTCACCGTGATCGAAGCAATTAGAAGTAAAATAAAGATCGATCGCCACCTTGTTGATATCCGACGAACGATCTTCTGCGAATATTTCCAAGTTCCTTCGAAAGAACATGTGAGCTGATAATGCGCGCGCTCTTACACACCGATTGACCTCTTTCCTTGGAAAAATTTATGCTAACGATGACATAAAGAATAAACAAACGAAAGAAAATATACAGACATACATATATAAATATAAAAAAAATGAAAGAAAGAAAAATATCTACAAGATCTATATATATGTATACATGATATATCTATATATACATATATAGATTTCAATTTTATTGAAACCCGTTATTGTGTCTTTCTCAGTTTAAGCTCACCCTGTCTATTAACCGAACGAACAATTTTTCAATAAAATTTTCACAAACTAAATATCAACATTTAAGAATCGAGCTATAATAATCGTCGCAACGATAGACACTGTAAAAACGACGACAATGACAATCCGCTTCTGATGTCTTATCGCGAACTGCTAGCCTACTAGCCCTCATTCCTTTCCCTATCCTTCCTTTCAATCCCACCCCTAGCGTTCTCACCACCACTACCACCATTCTACTACTCTCTTATATCCTATCAACCCCTTACAAAAGCGGAGCCAGTACACGTTAAAACGCGCATGATGCACCGGTGCGCGCATCCTTTCAATGCGCAGGCGTTAACTCTCCCAAGTATCCTCCAGAGTACCCACCAAATTCACGCCAGACACCTGTTCGGTCTTCAAACATGACCTTCTTTTTATTTCTCTGACTATAACTTATTCTTATACTTTTCTTACTCCTTTCTTTTTTCTGTATTTTCTTTTCTTATGCTTTTTTCTTCTTTTTTTTAATACTTCGAATACATTAACAAGAATAAAGAAAGTTTTCTTTTTTTATAATCTTGAGAAAATCTATAACATTTATCGAGATAGAATAAATATTTATTGAAATTTTAACGTTATTATATTTATAATAATTGGAATATTTTTTTAAATGACCGATATTAAAGATTTTCCAAAAAATGTGATATTTGTTTGCTTTTTATAATATCTACAAAGATTACGTAAAATTGATAAAAGAAATTATTTATAGAAAAATGACCGAGCCCGTTTCCCATGTAATTATGCATTTAATTAATTATTTATTCGAATAGTTTGTTTTTGTTTCGTACCTGAAGCTATGCAACACTCCATATCTCGTCGATAATTCCATTAGCAAACGCTAATGAAATCTATCAGTAAGTAACTTTTAAATCCCCCAAAAGGTATGCAACCAATTTGTACACGTGTGTAACGCTAGTTGACTATTAACAGGAACTTAACATAATTTGTTTCATTTGCTCATAAATGTGGATAGATTTGTTTTTCTTTTTCTGTTTAATCGATTTCCTGCTCGTAATTATAAATTTCTTATTAAGACGAATGTTAATGAATACCAAAATTGATCTCGCTTCGATCGAAAATAGAAGAGAGAAATTTATCGGAAGTGCAGAATGTGGAATGCAATACAAAGCGGAATCTAACACCTAACACCAACTTATGATCTCTACTAACAGCATACTCGGAATTGCTTGAGAGAATTCCAGTGAGCATTTACAGACTACTACTTTGTGCATATATATGCACATATTATATTCGTGCGCATACATGTACATACATAAATACTTATATATATATACTAGGGGTGCCCCGACCACGCGTTGCTGTGGCTAATAAATATATAGATAGATCTGAATCTACGCACATAACATTTGTCTTCTTTTTCTCTTTTTTCTTAATATCGAACCAACTGCGCATGAGCGGTAACATAAGATCACCACTTACTTCACATCATATAATTTTACATTGTCTGAATATAGGCACATAACATTTGTCTTTTTTTTCTCTTTTTTCTTAATATCCTTTTAAASGAAAAATAATTATGGTRGGTCASCCTTATCMCTCAGGGGTATAAGAAATATAAGAAAAACTATTCTCATACCTACCGAATATACACAAAAAGTTCATATAAATCGGTCAAGTCGTTTCGGAGAATAAGAATAACAAACACTGTGACAGGGGAATTTTATAGAGATAAAGATATATATATTAGGGTGGGTCAAAAAAATCAATTATTTTTTTTTTTACAAGTGCCACGAAAAAATGGGTTGCTAGACACCTTAAAACAATTCTCACCAAATATAAGCTCTTAATTTTAATAGGAAGATCCTCCGCATCGCAGTTTTTCATTTTTTTCTCAGTCCAATAGAATAAAATTCATACCTCATCATTAATTGATTGTACAGAAAAATGTTCTGGAAGAATTTTGTAGGAAATTTAATGCTCTACAGAAAAGGTATCTTATATTTTTTCCGTAAACCTCACCATTTGAATGATATTGAAGATTTAAGTTTGATTATTTTAAGACAAATTTCATTTTTGTTTATGAATTTTATAACTCGACAATAAATGACTATTATAAAATGCGCAATACAAATTTTTGTAAGAAATTAACTGCTCTATAAAAATGGTGCATTATGTTTTGGCGATTAAATTAAGCGTTCAAAAGATATTCAAAGACAAAAATCAGTACACATGAAAGTTTGATGATGAATATCGATGATGAATTCTTTTCGACTTTCTTTACAGAAGAAGATTTGATTTATTAATCCAATAAAGAATAAAGTCGGGTAGATACGTGTAAGATAAAGATAAGAGACTGTTCGGCATTTTGGATAAATCTAAAGTAAAGTACATCAAACTTTTGTACTTTATCGACTAGCTACAGGTTTCGGAATTCAGTAAACTTGAATTCGATGGAAGTTGAAATGGCTACGTCTTTCGTTTTAGCAAAGACATCATCTCTAACTTGTACACACACACACACACATGTATACATTAATTAACTTTCCTATTAGAGTTAACTTCATTATTATCTTCTAATGCCGCTTAGCAGTAACACCCAAAAGTGCATTAATATCTGCACAGATTTTTAGGAAAATTGAAACTGCATGAATGAATATATTAGATTTTTATTAATTATTCTAAATAAATAAGAAAAATCAAATATATTCAACGGTACATTCATCCTATAATCGTTTTTAATAAAATAGGTGAAAATGTATATAAAATTTTATTTTTTTAAATAAAAAAGGCTATTCCACACTTTATTTATTATATTTTATAATCGTTTAAGAAAAATTTCCCTAAGTAATCTTAAAAATTATTATAAATATGTATACATTTACTTACTGTCTACTAACGTATGTAAAATTTACTCACTAAACATATATCTCATTTAATCTTATCTTATATACAGATTAAATGTTCTGACACGTGCAAAAGTCCATCGAAGTGAAAAATAATCAGAAAGAAGATAAGAGTGAAAACGAGAAAAATCGAGGGAAATAGAAAGGAAAAAGAGAAAGAAATAGAGAGAGAGAGAGAAAGTAAATACATTCGAGCTTATGAGTCGATACGAGTGCTCCTTTCTCGAGGTCAAAATTTGCATAATATGCCTCGATCGGTGTGGTTACGATGTCGCTGTTAAACACCTTTTAAAGCGACATTAGATTTTCAATCGACGTATTTTCCAGTTTCGAGAGTATTTTCACCTAACGAATAACATTTTTCTAATTCTTTTTTGATAATCGAGTTATCGGAACTGTGCATCGACTATTAAATGTCGAAGTATTACATAAAGCATTTTCACTACGAATCAAAAATTCGAATTCACTTGCTGATGTTTATAAATATCATTTTAAAGTAATCAAACGTTATGTTAAATGTTAAGAAGTTGAATTACGTTTTAAAAGATTTTAAGCATTTTACCTTCATAATACACCCAGTTTAAGCCAATGCTCGTAATGAATTTTCCCATTTGGACATCTTTGACAACTTCTGCAAGAATCATAGAAAAATATTAAATTAATTATTAAATTTATTTATAAAATTATTTAGATAATTGAATTGCCATATGTCAGACAGTTAATAATAAAAGTGGTTTTTTCATTTTTTTGAATATGCAATTGAAAGAAAAATATTCGTTTGTTAATAAAAGAAAATAATACAAAGTATAAAATGTACTATGATAAAACCTTCGGTATTCGAATGAATAGGAAGACATAATTGTTAGTATGAAAGAATTTTCGTATTGTAAAACGCTAGCAATTTCCATTGCACTTTATCTACGAATAAAACGCGAGAAAAGACATTTTTTATGGACATATAAATATACCGTACAATCAATTAATTATCAATTCGATACACGAATTAAAACGCTACTCATAATTTATTCCTCTAAACGAAAAACGAATTTCAATTGTCATAAAGAAAGAGAGAGAAAGAGAGAGAAAATGACGAATAAAGCTTAAAAATATTATCGTTTCAATAATAACATTCAACAAAGAAAATTAATTCCGAATTTTATTAATTGTTCCTTTCAAAGCTAGGATATTATTACTTTTATTTTGGGAGAAAAACAGTTGGCTATGTTTTTAATCTCATTGGTCTCTTTCTCTCTTTCTGTCTCTCTCTCTCTCTCTCTCTCTCTCTCTCTCTCTCTCCCTCTCTCTTTGATTCTGTACTCTTGTCAAATTTTTACACATTCAAAGTAATCTAATAGCTGGGAAATATCCAACTAAGAATAAATAAAATATCTCTTTTTCTTGTAATTATTCTTTCACATTCATAAGGACATCACAAAGAGATGATCGCTTCTTAAAATAGGAAAAACAAAGAAATTATCTCAACCCGATTTTTTTGAATTCAATATTTCGAAAGTTCTGAACCGACGGAGGGAAACAAAATCATCTCGGATTTGACCCAGTTTGCCGTTATATTTTTGACCTGTTCAATTTTCTCTCAAATTGAACTGTTGAACTGTTCTGAGTATTTCTAAAAACATCTTCAATGAACACCAACTGTGACAATGATATTATATTTATACGTAAAAATCGAGTTATTTAGTTGAATCCGAATTACAAATTGGTTTTGTTTTCCAAATACTGAGTATACTGAAATATTGTATATCAAATTTGTTAAGCGAAAAATATTACATCTTTGAAGTTGGATATCTCATCGCTTCAAAATCCATTGGGCTCTGGTGATAGCCAATCTAATCCTTACTAAGTAAGTTTAACGCTTTCTCCTGAAAACGTGCAACACAATACCTCCATTACCAACCTGTTGTCACGTACAGATTCCAGTTTTTACATCCCTGAGGATGCAACTAACCGAAGGATTTACTGAAAGGTTGTTAATCGATCGTGATTTTATTCTTGCAAACACTTCAACATTCGCATAAAAGAAAATAAGAGAGAATTTTTTTAACATTCATTAATTTTATCACAATCATTTTCTTTACAAGAGACTAAAATCAATTGCACACAATTTTTACTCTATATCGATTCTTTGTAATTATTTTCGCGCCCAAAGGTAAACGTCACTTTATACTTCGTTGATAATATTGCAAAAAAAATATACTGATCTCCTCCGCGATCCTCGATGCGGCAACCCATTCACAAGTTCACTTACTACTAAAAAATTCCAAATATTTTCTTATTTTTATTCTAATAAAAATTATATTTTACAATAATACTTGACCTCTTTTTTTCATTACTTTTATCGTACCTTCAAATATCACCGATTCTCAATACTCCTTATCAAATTTGTATTCCTGAATGGTATTATATGAACAAAATGAATTTTACTTTTTTAGTTCCTTTGAGTTTGATGAGAAACTATTTTTATCTCAACGAGAATAAAATAGAATATAAACAAAAAAAATAACATAATTTAACGTTTTACGAAAAATCACAAGACGAGGAATACAATTTAATAAAATATCACATTTCTTCGATAAAAAAAAAAAAAGAGAAAAGAAACGATCGGTTTTATATTATCAGAAGCACGAGTAATAAGGATCAAAATTGAAAAGACGATTCCGTTCGCGTATCTTCGTTAAATCAAAGATAATTTCTCTCTCTCTCTTTCTCTTTCTCTCTCTCTCTCTCTCTCTCTCTCTCTCTCTCTCTCTCTCTCTCTCTCTACGATTACGAAATTATTTTCGCCTTCGATATAATCGAGTATAGATTGTTCAAGTAAAAAGAATATCTTATTATAAAGCATATTAATTAGATCGTTTTTTAGGAAACGATCTGAAGACTCTGTTAATTGCTCCTTTTCATCCAATTGATTTTATATAATCTTTACTTTCTTTTTCTATTTTTCCTTTTTTTCTTTTTTCCTTTTTTTTCTTCATCTGAGCATTTTATTAACTAATTTCAATTATTAGCTGTAATATCTCCTGTAATATCTAAGGAGTACAGAAATTGTAATTTCTTATCATCGCACAAATCTTTCATTAAACTTAAAAATACTATGATGTCTCAGCAAAAAGTTACAGCTATAAGAAAACAATTTCTTTTTTTAATATAAAAAATGTCTACTTTAAAAAAAATTATCCATTTCTAATTTCTCCAGCCCGTAATGGATTTCTTATCAATTATTCATGACACATTTCTATACATACGTATATACATTGTACATTTACCCCTAGTATATTCACAGAACAGAGAAGATACGTTTCTTCATCTTTTTATTTTCAGCGGAAAGTTTCTTGCTTTGCTTTAAAATCTCGAAAAATTAATTCGCAAAAATAATCCTGCTCACTCAAACTATTACAAATTTTGCACGAACAGTATTTCCTGATATTTGTATTGTTTTTATGTAGAAAACTGTATATATTAATTTTTTTTTTAATCGAACTCATACAAAAGAATGTTTAATTATCAAAACCACGAAAATATACAACAAATGAGGTACACGCGTGTAGAAGAATTTTACAACTTCCAAAGCACTCAAATAGAAATTGTCCGTAACTCAATTATCAAAGTACTGAAATAAAATCCGATATCGAATATTTTCGTATAAATATATAACAATTTTATATTTATCTGACATTATTGTTTTTTAATTTTAGATTTGTTTCCAATTCTACTCGAAAAAATAAGAAAATATTGTTTTTTTATAATAAATACATCAAAATATTACAGTTATCTGTTATGTATGGAATATACAATAATAATTTTAACAATAATTACAACATAAAATTTATACTGCAAAATTATAATATAATATTGCGTCTTATTTTAATTGATAATAAATAAATGAACGAGCATTATTTACAATATAATTATGTATATAACATTTTCATTTAAAAAATAATTTTTTTAAAGATAATCATTTTCGTTGTTCGTTACGTTCATTATGTACGTTATAAAATATAATATCCTTTGTTCTAATCTTGTAAATCTAAAATAATAAATTAAGAAAGGACATAGTTATAACTGAAAGTGAATAATAAATATAAAATGTAGTTATGAATATCATAAACAAATGATTGATGAGTCAATATTTTTGTTTTCTTTTTTATCAGCTACATATTATAAATTATTATGTAGTTAATTTTTTATCACTTATACTAACTTTCTGGTTGTGTGTAATTAGAATTTTCTTCTATATTTAGATTACATGGAACATATTCATGACTTGATACCTATAACAAACATTACTTTTTAATTAAAACAATTAAATTTGTGATTAAAAAAAAAATAAATAAATACACTCACAGAATTTACAATTATTTGTCTTCCTTCTTCTAAATTAAGACCATCCATATCCTCTGTCGTTAAAATAATAACAGAATCCTCTGGTAAACTATTTTCATCTATATATGTTATCGGAATTTCTGACGCGACCTGTAATTAATTATAATTATTTTCTATAATAATCATGAAATATATAATAAATACATTACCTCGCAATACGTATAATCGGATGCTTCTTGCTTTGGTTTATCAACTATGCTCGATGTTGTCTCAATACTCCTCTGTGATTTTTTTTTATTTGTTAATCTTTCCGACTTTTTACTATCTTGTTGCAAACGTCTCCATATCGTAGTCTTTGGTATATCATAAGCCATGGATGCTGCCGCTTGAGACATTTTTCCTCCTTTACAAGCAGCTACCGCTTCTTCTAATCTCGACTTTTTTAATTCCTCATTTTCTGTCTTACGTTTTTTCCAAAATGAAAGTGGCAATTTTCCTTCGTCTACTAATCTCGCTTTATCTCTAAATAATGTTGTCTTAGGTATCTATGAAATAAAAATATAAAAATAAATACACGCATAAATAAACATATAAAATGAAATTAAATTGAAAATTACCTGAAATTCAAGAGCAACTTTAGTTAAATTTTCTCCTCTTTCTAAAGCCTTAACAGCTGCTTCACGTTTATCTGATCCATAAGATCTTTTCATTTCAGAACGTAAAATTTGATAACCTTGTTTTTGTATGCGTCTCCATAATACAGTTTTAGGAATACTGAATATTTCTGATGCTTGTTGTAGACTAGTACCAGCTATAATAATTTTATAACGCTCTTATGGTTGGTCTTAATAGAAAAAGTGTAAATAGTATGATAAGTACTAACCGATTACAGTATCTATTGCCGCTTGCATACATTCGGCAGGATATTCATTCCTAGATGCATTTAAATGTATACCCAATCCTTTAGCACGCATGTATAATGTAGAACGAGGTATGTTATGTTTGGTAGCTGCTTCTATTAAAGTTTGACCAAGCCTTAAATCATTAATAGCCGATGCTAACATATCGTCGCTGTATTCTCTTTTCATCACATCTCTTTTTCTTTTTCTTCTTTTATTTAAGAGAGAGTTTTCTGTTGTCTTATTCTCAGTTTTTAAATTTCCTAATTCACATTTATTATTTAATGTATTTATCTCAATTTCATCTGTTTCATTTATTTCTGGTATATGATCAATATTATCTTCAGTCACATCTTTGCTATCAATAACAGTATCATTTTCATCAAGATCATCAATCTACAAATATAATTATATATTCTAGACAGATTATACAATTTTTTTATTATTAAGCCATTAGTATGTTACATAAAAAAAAAAAGAGAGAAAATATACCTCATTAAGACCACATATTCTTAAAAATCGTGCTGCATCCAACAAACTATTAATATTCTCTACTGGAATACGTACTTCTCCATGATAGGTAAATTCAATAATTGATTTTATATCCTGAGCAGATATATCGCTTAATATTATCGTAGGATGGTCTTCGTTTACTTGACTCAAAACTTCCTACATTATAATAACAACAACAATAATTAAAATAATAATAATAATAATAATAATAATAATAATATTAACAATAATAATAATAATAATAAATGTTACACAAAATACAAATCATTTTGTTTATTAAAAATATGTTTTTAGTAGTAAATTTTTCTACGCAAAAATATAAACATTGTCAAGAAAAATTTAATGTGTTAATAACAATTATGTCACACACACAATATATGCACATATAAAAAATTCAATCATTCATAGATTTATTTACTTGAAATAATGTACTGCAAGCAGATAGAACAATACGGTGCGCATGAATACGTTCTCCTGCTGCAGAAAGTGTAACATCTACCATACAATCATCTTCCAAAAGTTGACGAACTACATCTGACAAATGATTTTGGTAATCATTCCATTTGAAACAATAACTTTGGTTAATTTCATTTTGAGTAGATTGTTCGCACATTCCGTTTCAATTTCGTTTCCTTTCCAATATTTTAAGAAAGTTTATGGATCCGGAATTCGGAATAGGACTGCAACATTGACAGTTAAAGCTAAAATTGACGGAGGTAGAAACACAAGAGAATGAACGCTGTATAAAAAAAGTGTCCGCCAAATGTGGAAGAAATAAAGTTTTAGTCCAGAGTGCACTGTAGTTGCTAAGGTGAGTCTCGCTTGAGCGTCGGCCCGTGCTCAGGCTTTAAATGTCTCTTAGGTCGCCGGCTGTTAATGTGTTAAATAAAATCATTTTTGTACATACCTGAAATTATAAACAGATTTATGTAATTATTGCTTATTAAATTATTTATTTAAAATTTGACGAACAAGCAAACTAATGAATTGAGAAAATTTTTAAATAATAGTATATATTTTATATTGGTTATTAATTAATAAATTAATAACAAAGAAAAATAACATTTCTTACTCAATGTAAAGTATATAACACATTTATAGTTCTAAATTTAGGACAAAATAGTTCAAAAAAATTGTTTTTCTATTATAAAATAATGTGTTAGCAATAAAAATTATTGAACTTTATTAATCAATCAACTTTGCAATACTTGTTGCCATTTTATTAATTTACGGAAATTTAAAAAAAGTATGAAATGAATAACAACTCCAATAATAAATAATTAAATAATCTGTGAAAATATTTATTTATAAAACATTTATGAACATAAAATTTGTTTATAACACAACAGTAAATATATTCGTGTTAATTATAAATACTTAACAATAGTTTATATGTTTGGAAAATAACATAAACATGACCTATACAAGTTTGGATATTTTACGTAATTTTTTGTTTTTAATTTCTTTTTTTATTATTATTTTTATTTATATGATTAGCAAGAAAGTGACCCCGGATAGTAATAAAATAATTTAATATTTTTTTCATCAACTTTGATTGGTGTTCTTTGTAGCCCACAAAAGGCAGTGCTTTTTCTTTACCGACTTTATCAAAAATTTCATTCATTGTATCAAATCTAATAGTTTTAGTCCCAACAACAGTTAAGATAACATTTTCTAATTGTTTGACAAGATTATATAAGTTCTCACTCGGACGTATACAATGTTCACTCATCAAATCAATGATTCGATCTCTGTCAGATGATTTATCAGCTTCTAAACTTCTCAAGCAATGATCACACTGATCGTCATGCCGCCCTAGTGGCAGAAATAAGTTTTAGTTATTTCTTACGATTTTCGAGGACGGCTAATGTTACAAATAGGGATCGTGCGTGAAATATAGAGGCAGCACTACTGTCGGAGTGAGCGCTCTCTTGTGTTTCATTTGTGAACATAGTGGGATCAAAACAAAAATTTAATAACATTAAAAAAAGTTATAACAATGGAAAAAATAATAAAATATGGTTTTCAACTAGCGATCCCATTCGTACGATAATTTGAGGTCCTGTACGATCCAAAATTCGTGGTGTACGATCCATTTGGAATTTCGAAAACTTGATGACCTTTTTTTTTTTTTAGTCAACAAATTTTGATGATTATGAAATGACTAAAAAAAAAAGGTCATCAACTTTGAAAAAGTTGGAACTTGGACACTTTTTCCACATTTTGAAAATTTTGTCCGAGAAATTGTTGGATTTTTCTCGGATTTCAAATTTTCCCAGGGCGTACGATAATTTTCTGCCGCGTACGATAATTTTACGCCCCTGTGTCGATCAGACGAACTAAAGTCTCTGGGATCACTGATTTCAACCTGTAGTTAATAATATTATACATGGCCAAAACGATGAGAAAGGCAAAAAATTATTCAAATCAAAGCATGTGTACGGTGTTGTTGACAAAACGAATAACATTAGAACTGTCATGACAAGATTTATTAAGATCAGTATTTATTGGATCACAACTCGAATCTTGAACATTTTTTACAATTGGTATTTTAGCTTCACAAATTTTATTTTGTGTTTTTTTTTTTTATTAGAATATTTACCTGTACTGCGACCGTGCTTAAATCATTATGATAGTTGAGATTACAAAAAAAATATGTCAAATCTTCATAAGCTCCGTCTGTGACTATCTCTGTTTGACAACTTATGCTCCGTTGCACAGGCTTCACCGTAACAATTTCAACATGAATATCAATCTGATGTTCTTCAACACTACTTGCATGTTCTTCATCACCTTGCTTCATTATCTATCGTATTTTCAATGTTATGTTATATCTATTTTTTTCACTCACAATACATTTATTGATGTGGACTGTTTCTTTCACGATTTCTGACTCGTTGGAAACGTTCTAAGGATTGAATGTTTCTTTTTATATTATCACTAGCAAAAAATTGAAGGAACATAAGATGGATGTAACGGATGCTCTGATTTTTCATTATTTAATGAGAAAATGGGTACTACAAATTCTAGCATATTTATTTGGTAACCAGTCTTTTGGATTTTTTCTGAAATCAAAGAAAAGAATTAAAAGGTTAAGTCATAATTATAAGATAAATGCCACAAATATTTGAAAAGGTATAGCCGGATAATTATAGGAAATCTACCCCCGTGGCTTTTTTGACTCGCACTTGGGGGATCGATTTGGTGTCGAATAAAAATAATTCACCCCAAATTTTAGCTCTTTTACTCAAACGGTTCTCGAGATTTTCAAAAAAACCTGTTTTTTCGATTTTATTTTAATTTTTATAGTAAAATTCAAAACTAATCAATGATGATTTTTTTTCTAGTTCTTAGGAGTCTAAGACATGAAAAAAAATACCATCTAATATTTTAACGAAAAGCCGATTTTTGGCGGACGAAAGAAAATTAAAATTTTTTTTTTTTTTAGCTTTTTTGGAATATGTCACTCACCAAAATTTGTCAGAAAATGTCTTTTATACTCCTCTATACTCAGGAATTTTCTTGAATTTTTTGAAGTGGTGGAACAATATGAAAAAAATTAAAAACTCATTTTTTTCTAAAATCCCAAGTTTTAACTAATTTATATTTTTTTTCAGTTAAGAAAAATGTGAAAAATAATTTTTTTACTCAAAATACACAATAACATTACTTATCAAACATTTTCAATCATTTGGTTTCACAATGATTATGTAAAAACTATTTTTTTTTTTAATACGTTCCGAGCTGACGCATTTCAACGCTATATATCGGGATTTTCACTAACCAGCAATCATTTTTTCTAAAGTTTCGCTTTAAAGTTTTCTTTATTTTGCTTTGTTGTTTGCTTACAGTTGTAGCATTACAACCACTTGAATAAGTAATTTTTTTCATTGAATCTGTCTGTATATTTCTCAATTCCCTATACTGTAGGAAAAAAATATAGTATTCAGCTCTTTTCTTTATATTCTATTTTCTGGAAAGGAAAATTCTATTCAGAAACTGAAGGGAAAGTTTAGAAGGGCCATAAAACCATAAACAAACATAAGAATTATCGGGATATATTGGTGCAATAAAAACCCTTTGTGCAGTGTCGGGACCCTTTGAAGAATTTCGGATTCCTATGTAAACATATGCGATATACCATAAAAGAGATAATATTCCGATGTTCCAGATCAAGTTTCTTTATGCATAGTTTCCGTTACCAAAAACTATAGGCTGTACCCATCGGTGGACTATGGGATGGATCCTTATGATATTGGTCAATAAGATTTATAATCTCCTTCCCTCTCCAAAGGGGTGTAGCTCATTTCTGATATAAATATGTGGAAAGAAGTAAGAAAGTGTCCTTAGTCTTCAGTCCTCAGTTAGTCCGTCTGTATCTGTCCTTAGTCAGTCCTTAGTCAGTCATCTTCAGTTTTATATTTCTCTCTCTGACTGAAAACCCCACAATACATAATTCAAATCTTTATTTCAGAATGGATTTTGATAAAAAATGCATTAATTGTAACAGATATTTGCGAAAAACAGTTGGATATAAAAAAGTTATTATGAMAATTGATGAGGCTAATATTGCGACAGAAAAAATTGGAAAGAGAGTCTTTATTAATGATACCTTTTGTGGTAAGTGTCGAGTTATTT